TCGCAGGCCTCCCGCTGCAGCCGCCCTGGGGAGACAAGCCTCCTTTATGGCGCTCGGGGCGGCCTGTGTGGGAGGCAGTTCCCCAGCAGGTTTCGGGTTTGCAGTCGGCCTTTGTCATCAGGAGAAAAGGGAGACAGTAACCTTTGCCGGGAGAGGCAGCCCTCCCAGGGGCGGCCTGGGAGCGGGTCGCGTTACCTGGGCTCGCACTGCGGCGGGCTCTGTGCCAAAGTGGGTCCAGGGGGGGCTCTGTGCCAAGGTGGGTGGGGGGGCGGCTCTGTGCCAAGGTGGGTGGGGGGGCTCTGTGCCAAGGTGGGGGGGGGCTCTGTGCCAAGGTGGGGGGGGGCTCTGTGCCAAGGTGGGGGGGGGGCTCTGTGCCAAGGTGGGTCCAGGGTGGGGGGGTGCCCAGGCTTCTCCTCGCGGAGGCCGGCACTTCCGTGTGGGGCTGACTTCCTTCCGCACTACCTGCGTTCAACAACCCTGGGGGGGAATGGGGGGGGGTGTAGTGGGGGGGTGGGGGGTGGGGGCAGCAGGAAGCCAGGCATCTGGGGCAGAGAGACGTCCTGGGCTGAGTTAGCTGCCGGGCACCCACCTCCCGCAGGTCTCCCCTGAGCCCCTGGGCGCGGGTGGGAGCCGGGGCAGGTGTCACTCGGGCGGGGCGCCTGGACCAGCCCCGAGGCCTGGCCAGATCACCGGCTCCCGACGAGGGTGCAGCTGTTGAGTCAGGGGCAGGGCTCAGCCCCGCGCCTCCGGGAACTTGGTTTATGAAACACCCGCCTGGCGCCCACCGTCCCATCGCACAGACGCGGCGACAGCCACGGCCGGGGGAGAATCGGCCTTGGGCGGCTCCTGCCAGGGGACCCCCACCGGGCTGCTCACCACTGCACCGGCTTCCGGGGGGCAGGACGGGGCAGGGAGGATGGGCGTGGGGAAAGCAGGCTCTACTGAGTGCCAGCTGTATACGCTGCAGACCCCGCTCCAGGGCCCAGCAGGCCGGGCGCCTGCTCCGTGGGGCGCAGTCCCGCCCGCGGTCCGCACGCTGCGCCCCGGGCGCTGTGGGCGCCGGTCAGGACTCGGGGCCTGGATGACCCAAGGCCTCCGTCCCAGCGGGAGGTCCCGGGCCACGCGGGCCGCTGTCCGGCTCGGGGCGCCGTGGCCCAGGTGGGGGCGGACACCCACACCCCTGCCAGGGCAGACCCAGCGCCCCCGCGGGGAAGAGCTGAGAGGAATCGGGAGTTCGGGGCCCTGAGTCCCAGGTCCCGGCCAGAACCGAGTCCCCGGAGCCGCGGCCCCCCGGGCGCCCCAGGCCTGCAGCCCCGAGTGCGCAGCGGGTCGGGCGGTGTCCGCTCCGGCCGGGGTTTCGCGCGGACGGAAGCGTGTGCTTCGAGGCCACCCAGCAGCCTGGAAGCCTGGCGCTTGGCCTGCAAATCACCTTTAAAAAGCTTTCATGACCCCTGTTTACAAATCAAAAGATTTCCCTCCTTAAAATGGAGATCCAGCTTTTTAAAGAAATCAGGGGCGAGGGCCACCCGGGGCCTGTCTTCCTGACGCGGAAGGAGCGGAAGGAGCGGCACAGCCGGGGAGTTTCCAGCCCCCCAACCGCCGCCCCACTTAGTCCCCGCCCACCCACAGCTCCCACCCCATCATAGCCCCACCCACCCACAGTCCCCGCCCACTTAGTCCCCGCCCACCCACAGCTCCCACCCCATCATAGCCCCACCCACCCACAGTCCTCACCCACCTGTAGTTCCGGCCCAAAAGATTTGTTCCTTCCACGCGGAGAACCCAGAATCTATAAGAGATTATTTTCAATAAATTCCCACAAACATGGCCCTGGCCAGTCCGCTCAGTGGTTAGAACGTCGGCCTTCACACCAAAGGGTCCCGGGTTCGACTCCCGGTCCAGGGCCCGTACCTGGGTTGTGGTTTGTTCCCTGGCTCCGCTCGGGCGCATTCGGGAGGCAACCAATTGCTGTCTCCCCCCCCCCCCCTAAAAATCAATGGGGAAAATAGTACCAGGTGAAGATTAACAACAACAATTATTTCACCAAAGGACCCACAGCCCCTCATCAGCTGCTTTGTAAACCCTGGTTTTTTTAATCTGGTCCCCGTCCTCCGAGCCCAAGCTCCAGGCGTCCAGGCTTTGCTGGGCAGAACCGGAGCTCTGGGCCCAGCCAGTTACCAGCGGCGCTAGTCACCTCCGTTAGCCGTGCCGCTCGGTTCCGATTGCAAAGCACCTTCTCACCTGCGGGAGCCGCACGCCTGGGGCCGGGAGCCGCACGCCTGGGGCCGGGAGCCGCACGCCTGGGGCCGGGAGCCGCACGCCTGCGGCCGGGAGCCGCACGCCTGGGGCCGGGAGCCGCACGCCTGCGGCCGGGAGCTCCCTCGGAATGCCGTCCGTCCTCCTGTCCGAGAGCCGCCGACGCGGAAAGACAACCTGGGCTGTGACCATCCGTCCCAGGCACCCGCCCTCGGCGACCCCCGCCGCCCGCGCTGCCTGTAAGCCGTGACCCGTAACCATCATCCCGTGCCCGCCTCCATGCCTGTAATGCCCACTCTCCCCGGGCTCTGTCCTGCCCAACGCAAGCAGCCGCTGATGGGCCAGAGCAGGCGTGTGTGGGTGGCCTGCTGCTCTCCCTGCTGCCGGCAGCGCCGGGGTGACCGCTCACACAGGGCTCAGAGGGACAGCAGCCTTACCCCGGCCGGCCTCCGCGGGGTCCTGGCGCCCACGGGTGCACTGGGAGAACCAGGAGGCCCACCCAGCGCCGCCCGAAACCACTCACGACGGCGGCGAGCGGGGGCCCGAATGGCGGCCGAGCAGCTGCACACCCAGCGACCCCGAAACAAACCCGCTCCCCAGGCAACCGAGGGGGGTCTGCCAGGAGCAGGTGCTGGCTCCTGGACCTCAGCACCCGCCTCCGGGAGGAAAGGGACCCTGGGGGGATGGGGGGGCGGGGGCGATGGCAGGAGCCGCGGGGCTCGGGGCCGGGCTGCGTGCTCCGGACCCAGTTCCCACCCCTGCGCTTGGACCGGTCGGGGGCCTCTGAGCAGCAGGGTTAGAGCCTGTCAATCAAAGGCTACGACGGGCGGATAGACAAGGTGTAAGTGCATGTGGCCGCAAAAAAACAAAAGCTTCCATTTTCCTAGAAACGGAGGTTTATTGCACAGCCATGGACACACAGCCAAGGGGGACTGAGATGCGTGTGCTGCGGGTTGTGTGCTGCGTGTGTCTGACGCTCCCCAGCCCTCAGGGCACTGACCCCCCCCTCCCCAGGTCACTGGTGGAAACACCACCCTTGGCCTCACAGGGACCTGCCTAACCGAGTCTGAACCCCCACCTCCCGGCGCCTCTCCTTCTCCCCGACTTCTCCAGGCCATTCCCGCTCCTGCTCCCGCCCCGTGGAGGGAGGGGCAGCTCCGTCCAGTGCGGGAGGGAGGAGGCCACAGGCCCAGGGGCTGAGCCCGCTGACCTGGTTCGTCTCCTGGCCCATCGGGCAGCTGAGGCCAGCCCTGCTCCTCCAGCCCCGGGCCTTCCCCAGCGCAGAGCCGTCAGCGAGGCCACAGGCCCGGCCGCAGGAATGCCAGCCCCCTCCCCCGCGCTGTTTGCCCAGTTGTCGGCTCCGTTTATAAATCGTCCGTTTATAGAAAGGCAACACCTGCCGGCGCCTCCCCCGCGTGTCCAGCGGCTGAGAGAGGCCACAGGCACCTCCGCTCCTCACCCTCCGCAGCCCCGCGGCCAGGCCTGTGCACGGGATCCCAGGGGGCAGGGCCGCGGGAGCAGCTGGTCCACCGTGAGAAGGTGGCACTTGGCTCCGGTGAGCAAGCCTGACCCGGACACGTTTCCCACGACCCCTGAGCGTCAGCCGGCGGAATGCTCCGGAGGGAGGTGGAGGCAGGCCTGTGAAATCCCCGTTCTCAGCTGTGCATGGCTGCAGCTCAGTGCACACCGCCCCTTAGCAGGTGACGCTGCCCCAAACCACTGCCTACGACGCGGGGAACGTATGGCAAGGCCGTCCTGGCAGGAACCGTGCTGGCCGAGTCCTGTTTGCAAAGCACCTGGAATTAACGTCCCACCCTACATGCTTCTGTCCATTTGCTTCTTCGCAAAACAAAATAAAGTCCACGGCACACGCAGAACACGAGGGGCAGCCACGCGGCATGGCCCACGGTGTCCGAGGGGAGGCTGTGGGGCAGCCCCTCGAAGCTTTGCCAGTTCCCACCGTCCCCCTCCCAAACCTAAGCCTTCGCCCTTTTATAGCCACAGGAGGGACCCGGCTTGAGGCCAAGTGGAGGGCAGCTGGGCTGACGGGGGGGGGGGGGGGGGGACACGCGGGGGGGACTCCGCACTCAGCCCCATGGGCACCTGCGTCATGCCAGCACGGCCATGGGTGAGCCTGAGAGGGGGTGAAGGATGAGAAAAGATGACAAGAGAATGAAGCCGGGGCTCGATGGGACGCTGTCCTCACTGATGGAGAGACAGTGCCACAGCCTGCAAGCTGCGTCTTTATTTCATAGCCGATCCCACGAGGCAAAGCGAGGGCGGGTCAAGATATTTACAACGTTCTCGCAGTTTCGAATCCACTCAATCACATGCACCTGATCGAGCTTTGTTTACTTGCTGCCCCTCCGCAGCCCACACCACTCAGCCACGTGGGCCCACAGGTGCGGCCCATCAGGTCAAGCTCACAGCCAGAGCCTTTGGCTGTAATGGTGCTGGGACTTGCACGTGGCTTTGCCACGAGAGGATCGTGCCCTCTCATCAGTCCCAGGCTTGAACCTGTCCAAATGCGGTAGCCGCTCCCCAAAGGCACCCCCATATCCTTATGGGACTTGAGTGCTTAAGATTCCTTTTTTTAAAATGTTAAGCTGACCGGGCTGGGTGGGTCAGTGGTTGAGCATCAACCTATGAACCAGGAGGTCACGGTTTGATTCCCAGTCAGGGCACAGGCCCAGGTTGTGGGCTTGATCCCTAGTGTGGGGTGTGCAGGAGGCAGCTGATCAATTATTCTCTCTCATCATGGATGTTTCTCTCTCCCTCTCCCTACCTCTCTGAAATCAATAAAAATATGTTTTAAAATAAATAAAAATGCTGAGCTGTCTGGGCACACAGACACCCCTGCCAGGTGCTGTTCATGGAGGCCGGCACAGGTGGGCGGCTGGGGGGCGGGGAGGGGGGCAGGACGGACCGGGCGGCTGAGGAAGTGGATGGGGAGGCTGTGGCACGCAGCACCAAGGCCGTTCCCGGCCTGTGCCGCCCACGCCAGGGTCCCGTCCACACCGGGTCCCAGCACTCGGACCGGGGCCCCCGGGGAGGAGCAGAGATCACGCTGATCTGAGACCCACAGGCGTCCCTTCTTCCCTCCCAGATGGACTTGTGTGTGACCCGTGACTGCTGCTCCGGGCGAGCCCTCCTGGCCTGCGGCCATGCCGTCGCCAACCGGGATTCCACTGGCCACAGGGTCAGGCGGGGCTGTGACGCCCGGCAGGGCCTGCGGGGAAAGGAACGTGCGGGTTTGGAGACAAACCCCCGGCACCCCCAGCGGCTCCGCCCGTAAGTCTGGTCCTTCGCATGAACCATCCCTGGGTGGCCGAGGAGGCAGGAGGCCACGGACACAGGGCCTGTGCGGCAGGCGGACCCACGGCGGGGGGGGGGGGGGTGGCGAGGGGGGCAAAGGGGGTGCTGACCCGAATCCAGTTCTGCTGCTGCACAGAGTGGACGTCTTCGCGCGGGGCAGGCCTGTCATGGGGGCTGAGCTCCGGGGGCGGGCGCGACGCTGGTCACGTGGCCTGTGCCTTCCTCTCCCGCAGCCTCCACGTTCCCTGGAGGAAGGAGACTCCCTCAGCACAGGGCCCTGCCTGGGCCGGTCTGGCCTGCCCTCCCCGGCTCTTCTCCTTCCTCCCGGTTCTCCAGGCCATTCCCGCTCCGCCCGCAGCCACCGGGCCTGGAAGGACGGGCCGCAGCCTGGGGTCCCTGCACCCTTTCTGGGGCCTGGGGCCTGGACAGGGCACCTTACAGGTGCAGAGTCTGTCCCACCAGAGCTGTCCCACCAGAGCTGGCACAGAGCAGGGGGGAGCCTGGGGGCCCCAGGACAGCTGGAGGAGCCCCCAGGTGCCTGTGGGAGAGTGGGCTGGTGGACAGGGATGGAAAACAGGGAAGGGAGGGGCGTGGACTTGAGGGGGACAGTGAGCCCTGCCAGGCACCAGCCCCTTGGGAGCACCCAGCCTGGGGAGGCTCCCGCTGGGGCCCCGCCTGCTCTTGGACCTGCGCTGGGTCCCCCTGTGCCAGGTCCCCCTGTGCCAGACCAGCCCACACCCCAATGGGGCTCGGAAACAGGGCGAGAGGCTGAGAGGCCAGGTGGGGAGCATTAGAACAGGCAACATACAAAACAACAAAATAAATGTCAGAGTCCTGGCTCCCAGGCCATCCTGCTCTGGATCCTGCAGCTTCGCTGGGCACCACCCAGGCGGGTGAGACAGGCCACTGGGCAGGTGGGTGAGCCCCTGGTACTCACTGATCCGTGTGATGACAATTGCCAGGACCTGCAATCCAGCTCAGCTGGCGTCGGCCGCATGTGAGTCCCTCCTGCGTCGTGTTGAGGCCCCGGACGGGTTGGGTGACCATCGGTGCCTCAGTGCCACCGTCTGTGATTCCAGGTAATAATCATGCCTCCTGCATAGGCCGATGCCGAGACAAAACAGGCGATGCGTGTTGAACAGCCGTGTGCATGCCAGTTGGAACCCCCGCCTCCTGCTCAGGACGGGCTTGTCCCGCGAGCAGCCATCTGGGAGTTACGCGGCCGGAGCAGGAAGGAGATGCGAGCATTCCAGCCTCTTCCCGCCCTTTGCACTTCCTGTCTGTGTCTCACTCGGGCCGGTAGGGGAGAGCACGCCCGTGTGTAATGGCCGAACGGACAGAGTGTGGATGTGGGGGCGTTCACTCTCTTCACTGGCACCGAAGCTCAGCGCGGGCGGATCCTGAGGGCGAAGCGCCCGGCTCCAGGGGGAAGCGAGTGTGTGACCTACGTGTGCACCGCACACGCATCCCTCAGCTGCCAGGCAGACGCTGAGCGTGTCAGTAACCACCCGCTTTCCACTGGGGTCTGATTCTCGCCCGTCCACGTGGGCGACCGACGCTGTGAACACAGGCCCAGAGCGTGAGCGCCCGAGGTTCAGCCTCCGGGAGGCGGGACTCAGCCCTGCACCTGGGGACGCTGACCCGGGCGGGCTGGTCCTGGTGGGATCAGGGTGGTGAGAGATGGAGCCCCGGGCCGTCCTCCGTGACACCCCAGTCGTCTCTGAGACCCCATGTTGCCCCAGGGTGCGGGTCTGGCTAAATAAACCATTCAGGCTCTGGCTGGTTTGGCTCAGTGGATAGAGCGTCGGCCTGCAGACTGAAGGGTCCCAGGTTCGATTCCGGTCAAGGGCACGTCCCGCGGTTGCGGGCTCCCGACCCTCATCAGGGGCATGTGGGAGGCAACCCGTCGATGTGTCTCTCTGTCTCTCCCTCTCCTACTCCCTAAAAATCAATGGAAAAATATCCTCGGTGAGGATAAAAGAATAAAATAAACCCTCAGAACAGAGACATAGAGCATGGTTCTCAGGCAGCAGGAACAGAGAGCCAGTGGGTCCCACGCCCCCTGGCTCCTCTGCCCGCCGCCGTGAATCCTTGGGCCGTCAATGTCCCAGACTCCACATCCTGAACCCCAGGCCCGTGGAGAGAAGCACTCTCTGTGGAAAGGCTCCCACGGCTGCCTGGCTCACGGGCACCTGGCTCACGGGCACCTGGCTCACTGTGTTTTTCAGGGGGTGCGCCCTCGCTCACTGCAGACAACCTCGCTCCTGCTGTGGCCGTGCCTGTCCCTTCCCCAGGCCTCTAGGCAGCGGTTATAAGCCCTCAGACCTCGGCTGTGCATTAAAGTCTGTTTATAATAGTTAACAGACAGCACCTGGTTATGGGGAATTCTGTGCCGGAGACAATGGGGGCGTTTCTTCTGGGGGAGCGGGTGGCCGCTGGGCTCCGCACATCGCCCTCCATCTCCTCGCCGTCCAGTCGGGGCTGAGGCGGCCCTGGTGCTGCTTCCGAACCAAAGCACCGAGGGCCGGGCTGTCGTCAGGTCCGTGGGGCCGGACAGGGCAACAGGAAGCAGCGAACCACAGGAGTAGCCGTGGCTGAGGAAGGACGGAGGCCGAAGGAGACACGCCCAGGGCCCATGGGGCTACAGATCCCACTTATATACAAATGGATACATCGTATCCACGGGGGTTACACATCCCACTTATATACAAATAGATACATCGTATCCATGGGGTTACACATCCCACTTATATACAAATAGATACATTGTATCCATGGGGTTACACATCCCACTTATATACAAATAGATACATCGTATCCACGGGGGTTACACGTCCCACTTATATACAAATAGATACCTCATATCCGCGGGGGTTACACGTCCCACTTACACATGACACGGGCACCTCCTGGTTCCCCGATTCCGGGTCCCCTTTGCTCCGTCATCTGTGAAACTGACCACATCTCTTCTGTTGTATTGTGTCTCCTCCAGGAGATGCTAATGATTACAACACACGTACGACTTTTATGAGTGACTTCTAATGGTTAATAAGAAGATAAGTCATTTGTAAATTAGGATTTCAAAATCCTCACTTTGTTTTTCCAACCAGTTTGGTAACCTCTGAAGCATTGCCTAAGCCTTATTCTTCTGTGCGCAGGACGGGGCGACAGTGGGTTACAGTTGTCGTGTGGAAAGCGATACAGCAGCTAATAAGCATGAGACCAGACAAGCTCAGCCTCGCGATCAGCCCGCGTTCCCACAGACTCGCAGTCTGCAGAGAGCGGCGAGGGGCCGGCCAGCTGGCCTGCGCTCGCCTGGGACCGATTGCCAGAGACGGGTACCCGTCCATTTGCGTCCGGACGCCTCTGAGGCTGGGCCCTGGGCTTGCCTCCTTCGGCCTCCATCACAGCAGAAGGTAAGTCAGTAACGAGCGGCAGGCAAATTAAACCCAAGCCCTTCGAGAGGAACTGGCCCGGCCACAGCGCAGCCGCGGTGCCTCCATCCCCGTCAAGTCTCGATTCTGAAGTGAGACCCGCCGCGGCGGCCGGTCCAGCTGAGACCATCGCGACCATCGTTCCTGCCCCGTCCCCCCGGGCAGAGCTGAGGTCTGACCGGCCGACGCTTCCTGTGGGCGCTCAGGTGTGAGCTGCCGAGGTGGCGAGAGAACAGCGCCTTCGTCCCCAGTGGAAGCTCCGGATTCATCAGGGAGAAGCACGGACGTTTCCCGTGGCCGATGCTCCGTGAGCAGCTGGGTGGAGACGGACAACTGAGGTGGGAAGAGAGAGTCCAAAGAAGCGTTTCCGGAACCGTCTTCCTGAATGTTGTTGAACCAAACGTCTCAGCACCCTGTGGCCCTCAACCAGGAGCCAACGCCACGGACCCAGATTCTAGCTGCAAGGGAGGCTGGGCGATCGGTACCTGGTCCTTGTGGCTTAGACAGTGGCAGAGGGTTCTGCACCTTCGGATGAGCGAGTCCTCAAACCGGTAAGGAAAGGGCTGGATCCCGGGACGGGAAAGGCGGCCGATGTTTCCACGGACGGACGAGCCGTCTCCCTGACGCCATGGCCGCTGTCTCCCCTGCAGGATGCTCTGCTCGGCTGTCAGCGGGCGGGCGGGCGGAGGGCAGAGGCCCGAGAGCCGCTCTCCAGCAGCTCCTTGTGTCCGCGCCGACGTGCTCTTCCTGGGAATCCAAGCCCGGCTCGCTGGCAGAAAGTCCCAACTATTTTTGGAAATTGGAAAAAAATGCAGAGAATCTGGCTCGCTGTGGGTCGTGTACAGTAACGTTATTTTTATGTATCTGGGACAGGGCACGGCCGTGTTCATTTCTGACTGGCTTTCTGGGGACACGAGGGGGGTGGCTAAGAGGCAGCAGCAGGAGAGGCGCTGGCAGCTGCAATCCCTCTCGTTGGGCCTGGGCCATGCCTCCCCCTCTCCCCCCCCCCCGTGCCCCCTACAGGAGCCCTCCCCCCAAGTGGGCGCCTGAGGGTCCCTCCTGCCCACCTGCCTCCCTGGTCTCGCGCCCTCGTTCCAGCCAGCCGGCGTCCCCCCAGACCCGGCAGCGGGAGCAGGCGCAGCGCCTGAGCTGTCCGCCTGTCACTCCATCGCGGCGGGTGCTGAGCGGGTTCCTCGCGTCTGTGTCTGCGTTTCTTTGTCTGGGAAGCAAACCCCGGGATGAGCACCCTTCACGGAGGAACTCGCCGCAGTCAGACCCCGAGGGAAGGGCTCTGAGAAGCGGGGCCTGGGAAACTGTGTTTCTCTGAAGTTGTCTGTGGTCAGAGCGGGAAGGCGGGCCGGTGGGCTCGGGGGTGCGGACCGGCCGATGCCAGGAGGTGTCCTTGGCTTTTTAACCGGCCGAGCGCTCAGTGCGATTCCCGGCGGGCGGAGTGCGGCAGGAACGTGTGGTCGCAGCCTGAAGTGCGAAGGCTGCGTGACGCTTTATTGACAGTTACAGGTAGGTGATCTGTCATGCACTGTGTAGTTTTAAAAAGGAAACACACCTGTTTTAACATGTAGGAAACACTATGGAAGTGAAGGCGAAAGTTCCCACCCTCGCCCGGCCCACGGCGGGGCAGGAAGCCGGCCTCGCAGCCCTGAGATGCGGCAGGACAGCAACCGGCCCCGGGGCCTCTGCCGCTCAGACTTCCATAAAACTCTGGCCCTGAAATAGGTGCGAAATGCCCTCCGTCCGGGCTCCTTCCTGGGAAAAGGGCGACAGGGAGGCCGGGAGGGGAAGTGACTGCCGTGTCCTTGGAAAATGACCGAGGGCTTTTCCAAACGTCCCGCCCTGAGCGGCACCGAGGAGGCCGTTGGCTGCGGAACACAAGGGGCGGTGTCGTCGTCTCCCGTGAAGAAAAGACGTCGCAAAGGCTGTTTGTCCAGATGTCGGAGCGGGTGCCCTGGGAGCGCGGAGCTGCGAGGCCCAGGCTGCCGGGCGGGCGCCATGTCTCACCGTCACCCGTCAGCCTGGGGTCCTGGCGCAGCCCCTCCGAGGCGGACGGAAGTGTGGCACCAACACCAGCATCCAAAGCAAAAGTCGAAATAAAACTGACAGTTCCTCACATAAAATCAAAACCAAGAAGGGCCCTCGCCGATTCAGCTTGGGGGATAGGGCGTCGGTGCTCGGACCAAAGGGCCCGGCTTGGGTTCGGTCAAGGGCACGTACCTGGGTCACAGGCTCCATCCCCGGCCCCAGGTTGGGGTGTGTGCGAAGGCCACCCCCCCATGTGTCTCTCTCACATCAAAGTTTCTCTCTGTCCCCCCTCCCTTCCACTCTCTAAAAACCAGTGGGGATTCACAGCCCAAAATCAGTCAGGGGTCGGAGGCCTTAGTATGTCAGCGGCTCAGCTGCCGGCAGACAGGGAGCCGGCAGAGCGTGTCCTTGGGGATGTTAGAGACTCACCTCAAGTCTTCAGATGTAAAGCTTTTACTTATTACAGTAAAACTCTTCAAAATAATAAAAGTTTTGTAAAGCTATCACTGGGAGTGATTTGCATATTTAGGAGGACTGAGTCTTAAATGCATAATTTCAACTCCGCGTGTGGTTAACTGACCTGTGATAACTTATTTTCAATGTGGAGATGAGCTGATGTTTGCAAGGCACGTCCTAAGTGCTACGCACTTAATGTAATTTCAGCTTTATTTTGCTGCCAGTCTCCGCCCTAGCTGAGTTCCCCTAGAACAGCGGTTCTCAACCTGTGGGTCGCGACCCCTTTGGCAGTCGAACGACCCTTTCACAGGGGTCGCCTAAGACCACCCTGCGTATCAGATATTTACATGACGATTCATCACAGTAGCAACATTACAGTTGTGAAGCAGCCACGAAAATAATGTTATGGTTGGGTCACAACATGAGGAACCGTATTTAAAGGGCCAGAAGGTTGAGAACCACTGCCCTAGAAGCAGGCCTTGTGGAGGATTCCCGTGTGGAGTGGACGTGGGGGGTGAAGGAGATGCCAGCAGAGAAGGGGGGAGGGAGGCAGGGAGGACAGCTGACAGGGGTGCGTTTCCGAGCTGGCCACCAATGTGGGGACCGGGGGTTAATCCCTCGGGGAAATCTAGAAACCATCATAGAACGAACTCCTGAGTCATCCACCCCACGGGTGAGGAGCTGGTACGTAGGTCAGTGTGTAACAAACTGCTCAGCGAGCTGCCAATGCCAGGGATGCAAACACTGCCACTGCAGTGGGTCCTAAAGGAGAGAACCCAGCAACGTCGCAATTCACAGGCAGTCACTGACTATGGCAGAGAACCTGGGGAAAATGTATGCCGTTTCTAATATTTTTTTGCCAAAAATGATAGTCATGACTAAGCTACAGAAGTCAAACAGAAAACGAATATCTCATCAGACATCAAAACCCAGCACCCAACATGCTCATTCACAGAACTGGAAGCCTCAATGTGAGCAGGAAGGCAAGAGGGATCTTCCTGTTGGACACATCAGATGTTCATGAGTCGCAGTTCTACTTTAAAATATAAAATCCCACCCAGTTCAGCTGTTTTTCATTATTTACTGTGAAATTTAGTTTCTGGTTTTAAGTCCATGCAAATGCATGCAGAATGTCCAGGTGGCTGGTTAATGAAAGGGAAGCACGTATATTTACATGTGCAGGGCAGGGCGCAGGTACGTCCAGCACGGCCAGGGGTGAACCTGAGGAGGGCGGTGGAGGATTAAAGAAGACAGACGAGAGAATACGGTTGGGGCCAGGTGGACCGCTGTGCCTGGATGAGGGAACAGTGACCTCGCCTGTAAGCCTGAGCTTTATTTTATAGTCAGACCACACGAAGCAAAACAAGGGCAAGATGTTTACAATGTTCTTGTGAGCTTCAAATCTGCTTCTTTTCCTGTTGTTGCCATTCTCTGGACTCTATCAAGCTTTGTTTAGGCAGCACTTGCTGCAGCCCCTGCAGCCCACATCCCTCAGCTACCGAGGACTGCAGGGTCCGACTATAAGGTCAAGCTTACAACGACAGCCTTTGGCTATAATTGTGCTGGGAGGGCTTTGCCCTCCAAGCTGGGACTTGTACGTGGCTTTGCCACAAGTCAGTCCGAGGCTTGATCCTGTCCAAACGCTGTAGCCGCTCCCCACAGGTTTATACTTGTTCGTATGGAAAATCTAGAAGAATTAGTAAGTAATAACACAAGAATAAACCCTGTTTTGTGTACTCACCACTGTAAACCTACTTTTGCCCCACCCTGTATATCTTAAATATTTTAATTTAAAATATAAATAACAAGGTTTTGTTTTGTGGTTTGGGGATTTTCACCCCGTGTAGGCCTGGAGTGCCTTGGTCTTTTGCATGTGGGTTCACTAGAGTCCCATATCTCTTTCTTACAAATATCATTGTCTATAATTTCCACATCTCGTTTCTTTTTTTAAAATATATTTTTATTGATTTCCGAGAGGAAGGGAGAGGGAGAGATGGAAGCATCAATCATGAGAGAGAATCATGGATCAGCTGCTTCCTGCACGCCCCACACTGGGGATCGAGCCCACAACCCCGGCCTGTGCCCTGACCAGGAATCGAACTGTAACCTCTTGGTTTAATCACTGAGCCACTCTGGCTAGCCACATCTAGTTTCTTTAAAGCAAAGTGAAAAGGTTCTTGCAAAGGAAGTCCTTATAGACTTAAATGCATTTTTCTCAGTCTTTTACAGTCATCATTCCCACAACTAATTCGACAGACTTTCTCCGAGTCTCCTGACCATTCATCTTTGAAAACACGTAGCTTAGTTTTCATTGGAGCACCTTTCTTTTTGCACTCACACACTGATCTTTTAATAATTTAATAGAATTTAATTAAATTCCCTTAGGACAGTATAATAGGTGTAGCCAGGCTTGGGGATGAGTACGGCGGATTCTCCTGGGGCCCGTAGCTCACCGGTGGGAGAACAGGTGAGCAGGTGCCATGGGCGTGGGCCCTCTGCACGGGCACCCTGTCCCGGGAATGGCGGGTGTTACTGATGAGGCAGCTCAGCAGAAACGGGTTAAGGAACTTTCTACTATCATGTCACCTATAGTGTCCTTGTTGGGGACCCATTATCCCACAGGTGATGAGATTTTCTGACTTTGAACATCTGGAAACACCTGGGAAATTCGGTGAAAAGAACATGGAGGAGCCAAGTTCCAGCCCCAACTTCCCTGGCGTGTTCCAGGATATTCCTCTCCAGCCTGAGAGAGTAAGATGACAGCCTTACCCTTTGTTTACCCACCCCCTCAATCTCACAGAGGCGTGAACACACACACACACACACACACACATACATACACACACACACACACACACACACACACACACACCGATGGATCTGAAATGTCATTTCGCTCGATAAATACCCACTAATACGACTATTTCTAGAAGGGAATGTTTTATCTACTTAATTCCGAAAGGATGGAAAACAACAAACAACATCCTCAGAGGAGAAGCAAACGCCTTGCATGCGCTTAGTAGGTGCTTTCTGCCAGTGCCGGTGAGATCTGCCCACGGCCACGTCGGGGACATCTGTGCACCAGGAGGAGAGGCAGCAACAGGACACGGGCCCTCCGTGTGAGCCCGTGGGCACCTGGGCGACCTGGGTTCCCAGAAGCGCTCGGGGAGGAGTGACCTGGGAAACGGTGGGGACAAGGCCACTGAGGTCACAGCACCTGACACCATAGCAGCGGCTGTCAGAGAGGATGGGAGTGCGGAGCTCGGGGAGCCCTCTGCGCACAAGCAGCCTGGAGAGACACGTCTCCTTGATGCCCTCAAAGAAACCAATGGCCCCGGCTGGTGTTGCTCAGTGGGTAGAGCGTCAGCCTGCAGACTGAAGGTCCCAGGTTCGATTCTGGTCAAGGGCACATGCCAGGGTTGTGGGCTGGATCCCGTCAGGGGTGTGCAGGAGGCAGCCGATCCATGGTTCTCTGCTATCACTGATGTTTCTCTCTCTTTCTCTCCCTTCCTCCCTGAAATCAATAAAAATCTATTTTAAAAGAAGAAATGGGTGCAGGCGGCTGGACACATGCCGTTGGGAAGGGACACGGAGCAGGAGCCACAGCTCCCGGCGCTGAGGGGAGTGTGGGAGCAGCCGGAGCTGAATCCCCGCAGGCGGACCCCACTGCAGAGGAAGAACACCATCCATCGAGCGTGTCCTTTATTTTTCTCTCTTACATTTTTTCCCAGTGTCTCTCTAGATGCATAAGGACAACCCAAATATTTGCATAAAAGATTACGGAGAAAATGACTCAAAGCCCCAGCAACCGGGCAGAAGACCAGCGCCCAGCCAGGTCCAGGCGGAGCTGCGGCCCGAGGTCAGGGCACCCGGCCAGCGGGCGCTGTGGCAGCGGAACCCCGTCCCTGGGGCCAGTTTTCATCGCGACGGACACGGGAGGAGGAAGGGCGCGTGGTTTTGCGGGAACCCCTTCCGCGGCTGCTCCCCGATCGATCGGGCCCGGGAAAGGCGGGGCGCCCAGTCCTCTGGGTCGCAGGTGCCTGCGCGCCGGGAGGTTCTGGGGTTTAAACTGAAGGGGAGGACGGTCTCCCCGCCGGGCCTCGGCGGGCGTGGCCGCGGGCAGGACTGCCCTTTGGTTGGGGGGACACACGTGCCACGGTGGACAGCGCGTCACTGCAGCCGCACGAGGACCCGAGGCCGTAACGGGCGCCCCTAGACTTTCGGGACGTGCCCCGCGGGGTGTGACTGCCTCCCGTGCCCGCAGGCAGATGTGGGGGAGACTCAGACACGAGGCCGCGATGACCGCTGGGCGGTGAGAACCCCGGGCCGCCCCCTCGGAGACATTCACACCCGAGGAGGACCCGTCGCCCATCCCCCGCCGACAAGTCCGGGCGGCGCTGCGGGCGGTTCGGCCTCCGGCTCAGGGGACCCGCCCCCGCCGTCTCGGGGCTTCGCGGGCCCCGGGCGCGGGCCCCGGTGGGTGGGGTGGCGGGAGGTTTCCCGTCGCCGACGCGGCGCTGGGGGGACTGCAAACAGGAACGCGGCGCAGCGGCTCCGCGCGCCCCGAGAAGGCGGAAAACCGTGAACCCGTAAAGGTGCGCTCCCTCCGCCCGGCGCCCTCCCGCCCGGTCCCTCCCCCGGGGCTGGCGGGGCGCAGGGACGGGGCGGGGGGTGGGAGGCGGGGGGAGACCTGGCCGAGGGCGCCCCTCCCGCCTCGTCCCTCCCCCGACGCCGCGGCGCACCGGGCAGGTGTCTCCCGCGGGCGCGGGTCGGGTCCCGGACTCGGGGCTGCGGCTGGGCACGCGGGTCCCGGACCGGGAAGTGTATCTGCCGCTTCGGGCGGGCGGACTCGGGCTCCAAACACCAGCGCGCAGGTCCGAGGTCGGCGGGACGTCGGGGGGCCCGTCCGGGGGGCGGGGAGGGGGTTGGTCCGCGCGGGTCCCCGACGCCCAGCCGAGGTGAACACGTCGCCGGCGGCCCCCGCGCGCACCGCACACCGGGTCCGAGCGCAGTCCCGTCGCGGGGCGTCCCCTCCACCTGCGCGCTCCCCCCGCCCCCCGCCCTCGGGGTCCCCGGTCCCGGGTCCTTGTCCCCCGCGCCCCGCGCACGTGCGTCTCCTCTACCTCCGGCCGGTCCCCGAACCCCGCTGTCCCCGACCCCCCCCCCCCCGCCCTGTCCCGCCCCCGCGCGCGGCGTCCGCCCACCTGCGACCTGTTCCGGCCCCGGAGCCCCGCCCCCGGAGCCCCGCCCCGCGCGCCTGCGTCCGGCCCGGCCGCGCTCCCCCCGCGGCTGCGCAGAAGGCCCGGCCCCGCCGCCCCGGCCCCGCCCCCGCCCCGCCCCGCCCTCCGCCTGGCGGACGCGGCCGCGACAGAAAATGGCGGCGGCGGCGGGGACTCGCGCGTCGTCGTCGGGACTGGCGGGCGCGGAGGCGGGCGGGGGGTCCCTGCAGGCGGGCGGGGCGCGGGGCGCGGACTGGCGGCGGCGGCAGCTGCGCAAGGTGCGGAGCGTGGAGCTGGACCCGCCGCCGGCCCCGCCCCGGTCCCCGTCCCCGGCGCCCGAGCCTGCGGGCGGCAGCGCTGCGCAGCCCGTGCCCGAGCCGCCGCCCCCCGGAGCCGCCAGCCGCGCCGGCGCCCACGCCCCGGAGCCGGGGGACCGCGGAGACGCGAGCGCCGCAGAGACCGAGCCCGCGGAGCCGCCGCCTGCAGCCGCCGGGTGAGCCGCGGGCGGGACGGGGCGCGGGGCGGGGACGGGGCGCGGGGCTGCGCGCCCTCCGGGTCCGGATCCGTGATTGTTCGCGGCCGAGTGACAGGCGTGCGCGGGGGCCCCGGGGACCCCCTCCCCCCGGCGGTGTCCCGGGGGCGCAGGGGCAGCGGGAGGCCCGCGACCGGGACCGGCCCGCCCGAGGCGGACACGGGCCCGGCCTCGGAGGCGCCTGTCACGGCCGCGGGACCGGCCCTGGTTCCGGACGCGGCTGCATCACGAGGACCGCGGCGACTTGGTCGGCCGTTGGCGCGGGGGCGCGTGTCCGCTTTTCCGGGTCCCGGCCTCACGGGGCGGCTGCGGGGACGGCCCGTCCGCCGGGCGGGGAGCTCGCACCCGCGTCTGGCCGGGCGCGTTCCGGCACCTGCACACCTTCCTGTGCCGGGACGTTCCTTCCCGGGGGCAGGGTCGTCGTGCCCCGGGTCCGAGCGGCGCGTGCCCCGGGGTCCGGGCGTTTGGAGCCGCTGGGAGCGCCTCCGTGGCGGCCGCCCCGCCCGAGCCGCGCTGACCTTTACCGGAGTCCGAGGCTGCCCGGGGCCAGCTGGGCTTCGGTTCATCTGCCAAGTGATTTGGCTCTTTTTTTTAAACTTGATTATTGGAAACCTCCGTGTTTTACTTGGAGGCTGTCCGCGAGCGCGCGCGCGCACCCCAACCCCAACCCCAAAACATGGTCAGCGGACCGCGCACCGAGGCCGGCACCGGCCGAGCTTCCTGTCCGCGCCGGACCGGCCTCTCGGGGACGCGCCCCCGCGCTCCCGGTCCGTGCGGATGGGGCGGACGTGGCGAGAGTGATTCTTTGAAAGCAACCAGCTCCCGACAAGCTCCGGAAGAAAACGCGAACCCCCGAACCTGGTCCTTGTAGCGGCTCTGGGGGGGCCGCTGTTCGTGGGTGCAGCCGGCACCCGCCCGTGCGGGCATCGGTGGAAGGAGCTGCGGGAGCCGAGCCGCCGCCGCTGCGAAGTTCGCCTTGGTAACCGGCCCTTCCCTCGGTGTGGACGGTGCCTTGCACCGCAGAGTCCTGAGCTGGTGGCTTATCAGCAAGTCATCTCCTAAGAATGAGCCTCACGCACCGGAATGCTCGCCTGCTCGCCCCGAATGTCATCCCTGGAGATTTTATTTGTGGTAAAAGGTTTATTCTCCAGCCTTTGGAATACAGCGGCTTCCCCCCCCCACACCCCGCTTTCTTGTCAAGAGGGTTAAAATTCATTTGAATCTGTTGGTATAAACACTTTCATTGTGAGCTGCTCGGTAAAGTCTCATTTGAACTCTGCATTTTAATTTTCTCGACAATAGTTACATTCATACCCAGGAGGGAACTCCATCGGACCGTTTTCATGTTGCCGTAGTGGTTCGGGTCCGGGACCTTCTGTCTGCAGAGCGTTCCAGGACATTCTATTCCAGAATTTCCCTCCGTGTTTAGCCTTTGGATGTAGACATTGAACGTGTAGAAAATGCTTTTGTGAAATGTGAATTGCATAAATGATACTCGTATTAAAAATAGAAGGTTCCGGTCTGCCCCTGGTCCTGGGGTCGCAGCTGGAGTCAGTGGAGGCTTTGTGCCTGTAAGTGGCGCCCAAGGGTTTGGAATTTTTCCTTATTTTACAGAATTAGGGGCTTTTTTCTTCCAATGTACTGTCTTTGAAGAAAAATTACAGTGTTACTCTCCAGTGAGCAGGCCATTGTGAGTTTGGTGGATATAATTACTCCATCCTATTTTTGTAACAAAAAAGCCTGGCTATCAGTTTGCTGGCCCCAGGAACGGAGGAGGTGTCTGCGCTTGTAAATGTTGGTTTTTGTTTAAAACTGAAGCTGTTTCGTAGGCTGCTTTATACCTCATGGCACTCAGCTTTCACTTCCTGTTAGACGCTGGGAGGCTAAAAATACAATGTAGTGATTTAAAAAAAAAAAAAACTTTCCTTTTTACTAAAGGAGGTATAGAAACATTATTACCTAAAATAAAAAATTTTTAAATTAAGTTGGTGATCTTATAAGGTCATCGAAGTAGTTACATAAGTGAGCCTGCCACGAATGTGTGTGTTTCGTAGCTCTGCGTGGTCTCCGAGGGGCTCTGTTCTGAACCAGGTAGGGAATTAGTGCATTCTTCAGAGATTAACCTTATTAACTATGACTCTGAGCGAGAAATGTGAGAGCGGCACTGGTGCCAGCTGTTTTCCTTCCCTATCTGATGCTGGCGAGGGGACTGGTCCGCCGGCATTCCTCCGGCGCGATCTCCGTGCAGCAGCTCCACTCCCCAGGCACAGGCAGGAAGCAGTCCTCCGGCTCCCGGCTCCCCGAGCAGAGGGTGCACGTCCCAGACACCGTCCGACCTGTGACCTGTGGCAGGAAGGTTGCCACATAGGGAAGGAGGCGTGGCCGTCGCCTCCAGCCGGGCTGGGCCAGCTGCAGCTTGCCTGGCGTCTGAGCGGCCTGCTGGCCCAGCGGCCAGGAGAAATGACGGGGTGGCCAGGCAGTTCCCGGGACGGGTCCCCGAGGGGAAAACGGCACTCGGTGCTCCGAGTGAGAAAGGACAGGGCAGCCGATGCCTTTTGCCGCCCCCGTGCCGGGTGAGAGGCCGATGCGTTTTGCCGCCCCCGGGCCGGGTGAGAGGCGTTCGGCCGAGGTGGCGTGGGAAAGTGACCTCGGTTACGGAGCCACGGAGCCCTGGAGCGGCGGCCGAACGCCTCTCACCTGCGACGCTTCGCGGGTGTCAGCCTGACAGGTCTGCCCTGGGCTCGGCGTTGTCCTCAGTCCTGGCCGCCTCACACCGGAAGCCAAGTTCGACAGCGCTGAGCAGGGGGCGGGGGGAAGGTTGATGGGAGGGACTGGGCCAGGGATGAGCCCACGTTGTCTCAGAAAGCCTTGAAGGACGGACGTTTTCAACGGGAGAGAGATGGTCAGGACCCGGCTGAGAGCCAGCGGCCCCTTCCAGGGGCGAGAAGAGGGCGTCGCCGTGGCCGCAGCGCGCTGAGGGAGCAGTGGGGTGTGCAGTGCCTTTTCCGGGGTCACCTTCCCTGTGGGCCATCACCGCTGCGTCCTGGTTCCGTGGTTGAGGCGGGAACTCGCGCGCGAAGCTGAAGCCATCACACGCCCCCGAGCTGGGCTCAGTCCTGACGGCGCGGCCCCCTCTCCCCCGCTCTGTGCCGCCTCCGTTTCTCTTTCAAACTAGCAACCAGACTCACAGGCCTCGGGCGGACGCTGTCCGGTCACAGCTGGCAGGTTTCTCTGCGGGACCAGCGCCAGCCCCGTTCCCGCCCGTCGCCCGGCCGCCCCGCAGTGCAGCCAGCCTCGCTGCCTCCTGGCGGCCGGGAGAGCGGAGTGGGTGGAGCGCCTGGTAGGCGTCTCGCTCCTGCTGATTCATGTTACGGGAGACATTGACGTCCCTCACGGAGAGAAGGCTCCCTGGGCTGCCTGCCCCCGGGTCGGCTTCAGACCGTTCGCCAAGCATTGAGCCTCGGTCTGCGTGAGGAGGAAAAGGCACCCCCATGGACCCGTCCGGTTGGTAGATCACTGGACGAACACGTGTTACATACAACCCCACGTCCAGTGCGGTGACACAGGGGACCCCCAGATCAGACACGTGTGCTCGGACTCAGCGCACGGCCCACACTGTGCCCCTCTGACTTCTGGGGAGGCGGGGCCCCCCAGGTTAGTGGTGGAGGGGCACCGTTCCTCTCTGCCTCTGGCCTCCTTGTTCCTGGGAGGGACGCGGGTCAGGGCTGCGTTTCCACTGGATGGAGGACACAGTCTCGGTACCAGGTTATTTCCCACCACTTCTGCCTCTGCTCTTAGCCCCGCGGAAGCTCACGGAAGAGAGTACCAGTGGGGGTGGGGGCGAGAAGCTCAGCGCCTGCCGTCGCCGCCGGTTCTGAATCTGTCTGTCTTAGGAGAAACCAGCTCTGCTGGTTGAGAAGACCAGGAAACGTAAAGTGAGACAGCGGGGGGCCCGGCTCCGCTGCTCCTGGCCGGCTGTCGGGGCTCCGGCTGCTGGGAGGGGAGGACCCTGAGAACCAGCCGTGCTGGTGGTTTCGTAGGTTGAGATGTGGGGTCAGGAGCGGTGGGGGCTCGAGGCCCAGCGAGCGCCTTTTCCTGAAAGGACTGCCACCTGGGAATTCCTCCTGGACCCCAGGCCTCCGGAGGCTGGAGGGGGCCCCGCCCTGGCACGGCGCCCGGTGGGGGTGAGCGAGGGGGAGGCGCTGGAGGTGGCGGAGGCTTCAGTCCCGCCCACAGACGTGGTCCTCGAACTGCTACACCACTGAGCCCCTGCCGGCGGGTCCGTCGGCTCTGGCGTCCTCGCTGTCTTCACCGACCCCCGCTGGAGTCTGGCCCCGGGAACGGTACCAGGTGCCGTGGGTTAGGATGGACTTGTTTTCTCCAGGTGCTGTGTTAAAACCGGTGGGTCCGAAGGCGGCAGTAGCCACTGGTGTGGTCCGTGTCTGCTCCGGCGCCGGGCAAGCCTGTTTCCCAGGAGGCTGGGCGCTCGCTGGGTGTGAGCACCTGCCGTCTGACGAGTAGGAGGCAGTGACAGCGACTGGTTTTATGAAGGGAAAGTCGCCAGCTCAGCACCTGAGTGCAGCTGGAGCCGTGCTAGAGGGTCAGGTGCTGGGAACGGAGGCTCTGCCGTCAGAAAGTGCCTGGCGTTCGGGCTGAAGGTGGGCCCTCCCGGGTGTGAACCTGACCGTCCTGCCTCGTGCCCGTCGTCCCCTTGGACGATACGTGAGCAGATGGGGTCCCAGGCTTGTCGGCTCCTCTGCCCCCGCCAGTCTCGGCGATGCCTTTGGCCCGTGATTGGCACGGCCCTCGTGGAGGCTTCGGGCCTCGCGGGCGTGTGGTCTGCGACCTGCTCGCTGCCCTTCCAGTCTGCTCTCCATGTTTGTAGCCAAAGTGATCATTTACAATAAACCTGGTTATCGTAATTTTCCTCTGGGAAAAGGAGCTCATTTTAAAAAATTAGT